AGTCAAGAGGACTGAGCACCTATGTCCTGACTTAGCCTCAAGTGGTCCTCAGTAGAATCTAACAGGTAGACCCTCCTGGGGATCCAGGAAATACTGCAAACACAGGGAATTCAGTCCATTGTTAATGTTGGCCAGATCACAGACAGTATGAGTTAGGAAATACCAGAATTCACAAAGCAAGAATGTTTCTGTCTTTTTCATAGGCATCTAAAAATAGAATTAGCTACCAAAGAGAAAGAAAGAAACAACCAGATTTTTCAAGAGGAGGAGGAGAGGTTGTAATTCCTCTTTTTTTTTGCGGTACGCGGGCCTCTCACCATTGTGGCCTCTCCCGTTGCGAAGCACAAGTTCCGGACGCGCAGGCTCAGCGGCCATGGCTCATGGGCCCAGCCGCTCCGCGGCATGGGGGATCTTCCCGGACCGGGGCACGAACCTGTGTCCCCTGCATTGGCAGGCGGACTCTCAACCACTGTGCCACCAGAGAAGCCCCCCTCTTTTTTTTTTCTTCCAGATTTTTCTATGGCTAGCAAAACTATGCTCGTCAATCCTTTGGTGTTGACAGCAAAGTATCCCACAGTATCTGCCAGGTAGCTGTTGATCTGTAAGTCATCCACCTTCTCCCATACTTACTGCCTCTGGAGGGCCCCTGTGGGGCAGCCTCCTGCTTGAAGCTGAAAATAATTGCTGATCTTTATAAAGGCAGAGAGAGGCCTGAGGGAAGGAATACTGGACATAGAGACTAGTGGCATTGGAGAAAGGGGAGCTGACTAGTTTGCAAAGTAAACTTTTCCTCAAAAATTCAATTGAAAGCATTCACAAGTCTGCACATCCAGCCTTGTTGGCTGGTCATCTGCGGCAGCAGAGTTCAGATATGATGACAGAGCTATGTGAATCCTGGGTGGAGAGACATTCCCGTGATGTGCCCTGTGGGACCTTCTGCCTTCCTGCTGACAGCATCATCTGTTCCAAAAAAAAAAATTATGCTTCTAATTAAGACTGAAGCTGAGAAATTTTCCTGACAGGGGTGGAAGTTGTAGCATGCATGGCCCATTAGATTTGCATTCTTTGTTCAGTGGGACATAAAGTCACTACTTTATCAACAAATTGAAACACCGAGGATATTCTCTCTCTCTGACTTTCCTACATACAATCATTACACCGCCCCACACGCATGCATGAGACACACACATCCAGTTACTACTTTAGAGTAAGCTCTTTTTTTCTTTTATAGTTTCAGGTGGAATCAATCAGTCAATCAATTTCTCTGTGTGTCTCTGTCTCTTTCTCTCTTTCTTCAATATTTCCCAGACTTGTGGGGGACTTTCCCTCCAGATTTGGTGGTTTTAAATTCAGGACAACCCTGATAGAATAAAGACTTTTTACCACTAAGGAGATTTGAGAAAAATAGGCCTCTATCCCTAAAGGAAATAGCGAAAGTTCATTCCTAACAATTTTTTGAATGGGCATTAACTGCTGAAATAAGTGAAATAAGTTGACAGTTTCCCACAGTGGCTAATTTGAAGGGGACAAGAGGTACCTAGAAGTACAGAGTTTGGTGCATTTGGTAAAAATAAAACAGCCTCCTTACTTTATAATGACAGCTTGTGTTATAGGTTTCTTCCTAAAGTGGAAATGTTGCCAAGGCGATACCTTGGCAATCTTCTACATGGCTGCTTTTTACATTAATCCACACAGGCTTCACGGACGTTAATCTTTATAACACACCTATGCAGTCCAGAAAGGCAGAATATATTGTTTTAGTCCGTTTTTCATGAAGGGAAAGAATAATAGAAAACAAATGTTTCTGGTCTCCACTCGCCTTTCCAGGACACACTGTCAATGACCAGACCTGGGATTTTGAAATGGCCTTAGGACCTCAGTCCAGGACTGTGGAGAAAACAGAGCAGGAGACCTAAAGAGAATGAATGTAACAAGCCAGATCAAGGACGCAGCTGCTGATCAGAGCTGGAAGGTCTGCCACTGAGACAGCGTGGAGGCCAGGGGGCAGAAGCCCAAAAGGAACCAGAGCCAAAAGTCACAGTTAGCAAAGCTCAGAGCCAAAGCACAAGACAGGAACCAAAGAAGCAATCAACACTGAGCAAGAATGTCCAGTGTCAGCGTTCAGAAAGTGCCCTTGTGACCTCCCTTGGTGTAGTAGCGCTTCCTTAGCCCCAGGGTGGGCGGCCCCTCTGGAAAGCAGCCCCTACAGCTGGGCTTGAGGAGTGATTAACCTTGGAGTCAGGGTGAGCTGTTTCAATTTTTACTAGACCTTCCACTATGAGGAGACAGAGACAAGATCTTTATGCCCAAGATGTCTCTGGAGTCATAAAGTTCACCAAAGTGGTATCCTAGGGGCAAGGCTTGGACTAGGGTGGGCGAGTGAGGTGCCTAGGGTGCCAGCCTTAAGGAGGCATTCACTCATAGTGTCAGACAAGTGCAGGTCACTGAGGCTCAGAGAGGGGAAGGATGCTTCCCTGCCCAAGGCTGGGCAGCACTGGCCCTGACACCCGATGGCCTCTGTTTCCCTTTGACATTGGGCCACGAGTCCATTCTGAATCAGAGTCTGGGGACCCCATGGTGTTTCTTGAAACAAAATATATGATTAATATTTAGCTTCTCCCTGGCTTTTAATAATGTAGGATGGATGAAAATAAACTCCTAAATCAATGTAACAGAAAAATGTTGGCTAACACCATGGTAAAGACATTTTCTCTTATCCATTGGCTGGCCAGGAAGTTCTAAATACTTTCCCAAGAGTATTTGCTTCAAAAAGAACAGAGAGAAAGTTACTGAGAGACCCCAGCAAATGTTTGCTGAATGAATAGATAATGAATTAGAACTGACAACAGAGAGAATAGGACTCACATGAACCCCATGAAAATATTCAGTATTCTTCCTTTTAGTTCCATCTGGTGATTAACAGGCTTGGTTTATTTTTATATACTAAATTTTTTCAAGCGATATCTATATTAAGTGCCCAAAAGCTTTTCCTCTGAAACTTATCATTTAAATCACTTCAGTTGACTCTGATCCCAACCAAGTAAGATGTTAAGGAAAGAACAAGAGAAATAGTATAAAACTTTATCCAAGAAGACTTGTTGGTTAATTTTGATTTGGGGTGTTTGTGAAGAGCTCCCTCAAATCCATATTCTAAATCTAAATGGAGTATCTTCAGTTTTCCAGTCAAGAGTCATTTTCTTTCTTTCTTTTTTTCCACTGGGCTCCACAGATTGGGCTGTCTTCTGTCTGCTTCTGAGGCTGTCATCCATCTCCAGGGTTTATAGTTGCTGACGACGTGCTTCAATAATTCACAAGGAACAGGACCCGTTTTGTGTTCCCCCTTTTTTCAGTTGGCTCAGTGATGCAAAGCAGATTAAAAGCATGCTTTTTGTCAGTGAAGTAAGTCGAGAGGTATCAGAGACACCCTACGAGGAGTAATAACTGAAGGAGTTACTGCTATTAAATGTTTTCCACCAAAGCACGACTGGATAAAACCAGAAACACACTGGGGTCTGCCCGGCACCCTTGAATCCTGCTTGCCCGGTGACTGTACTCAAGAATACCCTGTCTAGCCTCCAAAATGTGGAGTTGATTTATTCTGGCTCTCAAGGTTTAAGGAAGGGAAATCTAAGGACAAAATGAAATTTTAAATTCACTCACTCAATTTATATAACCTGTGGCATTTGTTTGCTAATTATCTTGGTAAGATGTTTAAGTAGCAACTATTAGGCATTCTTCCCATAACTCTCTTCAAAAGAAGATGCCTTTTATTTCTGCGCGGCTTCAGACAACAGAGCAGGAATGAGAAGGCCACACAGCCGTGACTTTCACTCTTCAGAGAAGGAGCCTCCTGGGGACGTGCCGTTGCTCGTGTGTCTTTAATATGAGATGTAAAAAGTTCTGTGTCAGGCTGAAGTCCCCAGACTGGCCTCATCTCAGAGGAGGCCGGAGCCTGTCAGGGCTCCCATGTCAGGGCTCCCATGCCCTGACTTTGTTGACTGATTTTTGCTTATTGAAATTCAGCCGCAGCAGCAGCAGAAGCTGCCTCCTCCCTGTAGCTAGCTCCTATCCCTGTGCAAATAAGACTGTGGCTCAAAGGCTTTGTAAACCACGATTTCCAGGGCCAATTTCAATACTCCGGTTCCTCTCTGAAGCCAATAACCAGACCCACACCAGAAGGTGGACACACCCCTCCAGATAAAGAATGGACTTATTTAGGTTCATGCAGAAACCAAAGAGGAAAGAACAGGGTGGATGATACAGTCCTATACTGGCCCTTGCAACTGAGCTGAGGGCTGCTTTGTGGAACCTGGCTGACTACCTCAGCTGCTCGTGTCCACATAGCACGCCCTCTGCACGACCTTGGCGTGCCTTGCATCTTCAGTTTGGTTTTGGCATTAGTGGTTTTCATAGATTTTTCTCCCTCATATTTTCCACATATCTCATATCATTATTAAAAGTGTATTTTGGATAGACTGGTCCTAGCCATTGAGTAAAAAATTCTGCTTTTGAAAAGTATATTTGTAATGGAATATTGCAAGGCTCACGATCTGGAAATCAGCTGACATCTGCTATGTCCTTATATGTCAATACACATAAATGTACACAGATATACAGATAGATAGTTCTACACATAAAATATTAACTATATTTACATGTGGTTTTCTTTAGGTAAGTAAATACAAAACTTAACCTCAGTTCCACTTGGCTTTTGGCAAGAAGTTGTCACCTAGTTTTTCATCCAATTGGCAAATGCACATAATTAATAAATGAGTTTAAAGGATACAATTTTTCCTTTTGTTTTCTTTAAAATGCAATTTGAGATTGGAGTAAAACAGAATAAATATCAATGGAGGCCCAAAACCTTACAAACACTTTAATAGGATAGGCCTGTGGTAGCTGGAACCATAGCCCTTGAGGGCCACACTGATCCAGAAATTCCAGTCATCAAAACCTGACTTTTTTTTTTTTTTTTTTTGCTTCTCCATCATATTCTGAAGCTTGTGGTAGCCCTAAAAGGGTTGCCAATTCACTCTTACAACTTTGCCCCAGGCTGAGGAAAGAACTGACTCCAAAATGTGTTCTGACAATGACATCGTCACAAAGGTGAGTCTTCTTGGTGTCAAAACTATCATGGCTGCAGATACAGGGGATGTGCTCTTAGGCTTCACTGCAGGGATGCTGGGAGCGACTAGCTTCCCCAGGTGGATGCCACACAGACACACCAAAACGCAGGAGTGGGTACATGACTGTGAGATGCACTGGTCCTGTCACATACTGCACCATCAGAGACTGGCTCAGCAGAGCACTGGAATGGTACATTCAAGGCATAGCTGAGGCAGCAGCTTTGAGATTAGGGTAAGGAAGTGGGGGTCATCATCTAGGGTGCACTGTGTACTTGATATCAACGAATACTATACGGTGTGACATCCTCAGTAGGTAGAATACGTACTTCCAGGAGTTAGGGGTCAGGGCAGGAATGGCCCTGCTTACCATCACTCCGTTACCTGCTTGGAGAATTTCTCTTCCTCTCCTTGTTTCTCTGAGTTCTGTCCTGGTTCCCTCTGGTCCTTCCACCAGAGGACACAGAGTCCTATTAAACTATAATCGACAGCTCAGCACTTTGGGTTCCTTGTGCCAAGGGACCAACAGGCAAGAAGGGGGTGACTCGTGGCATCAGGAGGAGGTTGGGAGACTGTCATACAGTGGAAGAAGGGAAGAATATATTTGGCACCCAAGTGATTTTTTTAGGTGCCTCTTGGTACTACTTTGCCCAGTGTTGACAGTAATAGGCAAGTTTAGAAACCTTAGTCAGAGAAGGACGTGGTGACTGGGAGCTCAGACCCCTCTGGTCAGGTTCATGCCACCAGGTAAGACACCCAGACCTGTGGAGATGCTAGGTGAGGTTGAGGAGAGTATAGAATGGAGGTGGAGGAGGAGACAATGCGTTTCACTTGTGATCCCAAGACTGGCTGCTCAGCTGGGGCTGTGTTTCTTGCCACTAAACCTCAGTAAGTTTACCTGAGGAAGAATACACCACAAAGCTGCCTCCAGAATGTATACAGAGCAGTGGATTCAAGGGTGGACTCGTGACCTCCGTGAAGTGCTACCTAGACCCTCATGCAGGACCAAAAAACTTGCTCCCCAAGCTGCTGGGAGTACTGCAGACAGATAGCTTTTGCTGTCAGCTTACTTTGGGAATTGTCTCAACTGAAGAGAGCCCCTGGCGTCCAGGAACTGGTTGACCTGGGGATGTCAAACTTGTTGCCTCTTGCTAAAATGGTGTATCTCTAGATCTTGCAGCTTCGGAACTCAACTGTGCGGTTTGCTGAGGTTTTTGTTAAGACTGCAGTTGTAGCCCAACATCTCCCTTCATCCACTCCTCTTATTTTCCTTCTTTCCTCAGGTGTTGATCAAGAGAACCTCTAATAAACTTCCTACATGCAAACCACTCCTCAGTCTCTGGTTCCTGGGGAACCTAACTTGCAGCAGTGTTAGGAAAAAAATGAAACAGGGAAATGGAATAAATATCAGATATCAGGAGGGGCTGCCTAGTTAAGATGGTCAGGTAGGACTCCTCCAAGAAGTTGATATTTGAGCCGATGTGTGAATGAGAAGGGGCACAGAAAGATCTGGGGGGGCGGGTAGCCTCCCAGACAGAGGAAAGTATGAAGACCCTGAGGGGAGAATGAGTTGGACGTGTTCCAGAAAAAAAGGAAGGCCAGTGTTACGTGTGATAAATGAAAAACAGGCCGGTAGAAAAAGCTGCTGGATCATGGAGTTTGAACTTTATTCTAAATACAGTAAGTAATTATTAACAATAATTTAAAATATTACTTTGACTTCTGTGTAGTGAATGACTTGCAGATGTTGAAAGTAGAATCGGGATGAATGGTGAGTTATAAGGTCACCCAGGAAAGAAATGGGGTGTTTTGGATGAGGGTGGTGATGGTGGAGTGTGATTGATTTTTGCTATTTATTTTGGAGGTGAATCTAAAAGAAGTTGTGATGGGTTACGTGCAGGACAATGAAAACAGAATAATTAAAGATGACCCCTAGGATAGGCCTGAGCAACTGGGGCCCCGTCACTAATTGGGATCTGAAAGACTAGCAGAGGAGAATGTTTGAAAGGAGAAATCTAAAACAACCTGAGGATGGGGTACAAAGTTCCCAGAGAAAAGAACAGATTCAAAGTTTATATTACCTAATTAAGTAGTGAATTCAACTTTGTCAATCTTTTCCATCCTTCTGTGCTTCAGTTTCTTAGTTTTCCAGTCTTTCCTAGGCAGTTATGAGATTTTGTAGGCCTCAATCTATAATTATCTATAAACTGGTTTAAGTTTCTCAGAGAGTTTGCATTTTCAGCCACCTCCCAAGTGACACTGATGCTGTGGTCAGAGGACATTTTGAGCATCAAGGTTCCAGTCAGACAGACGCAGTTTTGAATTATTTCCCAGTCAATGATTAGTTGTATAATATTCGGGAAGTTTAAATCTTCTCAGAACTTTCATTTCTTTAAAAATAGGAACAATATACCTACTTCATAATGTTACTGAGAGAATTAAATGATGTCATGTCTGTAGAGCATAAAGCAAGCAACCCAGCTCCTCACTCACAACAGCGTTCACTAATTTAGTCTCCCTCCCACTCCGTCTCAAAAAGGGTGTCTATTCACAAATTATATTAGAATTTAAAAAAATCATTATAAGGCTATTGGCATTCAGAGAATTAAGATGTGTGGTTTTGACTACAGCTAAGTAACTCGAATGGTCCACAGAAGGTAGTCTTTTGAATTTTGCTGAACTACATATTTAAGTCCTATACACTGAGGTGACGGTCATTGGCAGTAGTGAGTCACTTTCCCGGGGTGAAACCTATCCAAGGTCAAGCATCCTCATCTCAGACCAACTTTATGGTTCTTAGCTCATCGTCCCATCCATGCACCTTTTGTGAAGCAAGAAAATCTCTGTATTTTATGGAAAATGCCCCTGCTAAACAAAGGCACAAACAGAAAAAAACAAACAATTCGAACCAACCAGTGAAGAGTGTTGGCATGAAAGTGAGGAGAAAGCTAAGAAATCTAGGAAAAAGATGATGCTTATACAGCAAACTAGGAGTTTGGGATAAATTATGGAGTGGGAATGCCACACTGGCGGTGGTTTGGATTCACGATATGAGTGCTTTCACCATGTGCCCCATAAGGAAATAAGGAAAGGTAATTCACACACTATTTCAATAAATTTTCCAGACAGAATTCCTACTGTTTGCTTCATAAATGAGTCTATCCTCTATTTATAGAATTATGAAGGTCTTAAGGGGTCAATTAAAAGTTTTTAATGATGCTTGACTGAACTTTATGGAAAAAATTCTGTGCTACAATGGTATCTGTGATTTGGGGAATCTGTAAATTGTAAGGGGGAAATTGTTAACCATAGGATTGGTAATCACACTGTAAAGAGAGAATTGGCATCTTTAATTTCTTGATTTCCAATAAGACCATGGTGTTTGTCAATAGATATTCAGCACCATGTACACAAAGTACGGGGCAAATGAGACATGGATACTGCGCTCTTTTGAGGAAGGGAAAACACTGGCTCCATGATGCAAATATAACCCTGAAAATTAGGAAGGTAAATTGTCTTGGGGAAAGAATACTGGGATCTATGACTGGCAGATGCTCATAACATAGGTGCATTTAAAAGAGCTGTTAATCCTCTGGTAATCAAAGAGACAAAAGGGAGATATAATTTATTATGATACTAAAGCACTGAGCTAGCTCTAAGAAATCTGACACAGCCTAGAAGTGATCAGCAAATCTCAACACTTTTGTTTTCTGTCAAGTCACTTAACTTTGGATACTCTCTGTGGTAGCTAGGGCTAAAACACGCCTAAAGATAGATACATTTCCACAAAAAAATAATTTTTATACTCACATCCATAAAAACAGAAAAACCAGCATTCTCACTTTCACAAGGCTCCGATCAGTCTCAACACCATGGTGTTCCTTTCATTTGAACCTTATAATCCTTGTAGGGTGGATGATCCCACATTCCATGGTTGTTTGAAGAGTCTTGAGTTGAATTCTGTGGACATGTTGGTCTGTGTTGCAGAAAGACTGGTATTTCCTAGGTCAGGTTAAAGGGAGTGAACCACAGGATTGATTAAAATTCCACTAATTGGGCACTAATTCCTTTGTATTATCTTCTGGAATCCTCACTTAAAATGCAGATGCTCTAGGGAGGGTAATACATTAAAGAGCATTAAGGAGTAACACTATCAAGAGAGCTGCCAAGGTCAGTTTCCATCCTAATAATGTCCACAGAATGTCACTCATTCTTAGTAGGCTGTTCAAGACTTTTTCAAGAATTCACTTTAAAGTCTTATCAGAGAGCTCCTGGTCTCCTGAGTGGAGATAGGCTAACCATTTGTATTGCTCCAGTGAAATGGGAGGAAAAAATATAGTGGCATACAAGCAGTCTTTATCAAAGGGGGGAAGTAAACTCTTGTGAGTGTCTCCCGTTTCCCGGGCTGTGTCCTATGAGCTCTGGATATGGCATCTCATCAAATCCTTTCTCCAGTGTCATTGTGCTCTTACTTCTATCACCGTTTTACGGATGGGAAACTGAGGCTATGGGAGGTTAAGTAGCTGCCATGAGGCGCTGATCTTGGAGTCAAGGTTGCCCTATCTCCTTTCAAAGCTCATTAACCCAGGAAAAGAGATCTTACCTAGGAAATTCGGTCTAAGGCATTTTGGTTCTCTCCCTCACAACCCAGGTCCACATAATTCTGACTTGTACAGAGACTTTTCAAGAGAAGCAAAGTAGAGGAGAAAAGGTTAACATGCTAAGTATTATGAGACTTATTATTGAGCAGGACTGGAGTAGCAATGGAAGGAAGGCTATTTCCCATGTCCTATTTGGAAGAAATGCCTCATTTCTTTATTTTTAGAATGTTTAGAAAATTATTCTGTGACAAAGCTAAACATAATCTTACCATATGATCCAGCGATCGTGCTCCTAAATGAGCCCAAACTTAGGTCCACATAAAACATCGTGCACACATTTTTACAGCTGCTTTGTTCAAAACTGCCAAAATGGGAAGCAACCAAGATGTAATTCAATAGGTGGATGGATAAACAAATTGTGGTACATTCAGACAATGGAAAATTATTTAGTGATAGAAAGAAATGAGCTAGTGAAAAAGACATGCAGGAAACTTAGCGCATATGGCAAAGGAAAGAAGCCAGTCTGAAAGGCTACATACTATATGATTCTCACTATATGACATTCTGGAACACAACTTTAAACAGAGTAGAAATAGCAGAGGTTGCCAGGGGTTCAGTGGGGTTGGTGGTGTGGCGGAGGGAGCTGAACAATTGGCACACAAAACATTTTTAGGGCGGGGAACTATTCTGTATAATACTATAACGGTGGATACATGACTACGCATTTGTTAAAACCACAGAACGGTAGAACACGAAGAATGAACCCTGATGTAAACTATGGACTTTAGTTAATAATAATGTGTCAGTATTGGTCCATCGATTGTACGCACAAATGTAAGATGTTAGTAATAGGGAAACTGTGGGCAAAATGTGGGGTATCTTGGAAAGAGAGTATAAGGGAACTCTCTGTACTTTCTGTTCCATTTTTCTATAAACCTAAAACTGCTCTAAAAAGTACATTAATTTAGAAAAATCATTCTAAGTCTAGACAATAATATTGTACTATAATTATGTGATGTGATAAATAGTGCTACAATGGCAATCATATTACAATACAAAAGTGTATCAAAGAACATGTTGTACATCTTAAGTTTATACAGTGTTATGTGCCAAATATATTCAATTAAAAAAATCATTCCAGGACTTCCCTGGTGGTCCAGTAGTTAAGACTCTGTGCTTCCACTGCAGGGGAAGTTGTTGGGGAACTAAGATCCCACATACTGTGTGGTATGGCCAAAAACTTTTTTAAAAATTCAAATATTTAAAAACAAAACTTCAGGTGGATACAGTCTATGGACCACCACTTTGTGATCTCTACTGAAAATGTTTAGCTTGGTTTCCAGCACTCAATAAATGCTAGTGTTCAACAAATTAAAAAAAAAAAATAGAAAGTAAAAAATAAAAATTCCAGAACTATTCCATTCTTCAAATGTCTTATTAAACTATAACAGATATAGGTAGAGAGTAAAGAAGCAATAAGAATAGTGTAAAGGAAAGGAAGAGGCAGAAAAAATATGAGAATTATAATAAGCTAAAAAGAAATTTGTGCCAGCAGAGGGAAAAAAAGGAGATTAGAAATTTACAGAGCCATCTCTTCGTAGTCTTTTTTCTTCTTTTCTTCCTTTGTTCTTTTCTGGGGTATGGGCTGGGTAGAAAGACTTCAGCAAGCTTAGAATGTGGAATACGATGACAGCATGCACTCGTAAAAATAGTCTATGCACATTCCCCCAGGCAGGCATTTTACTTAGGGCTGACAGAAGCCTAGGATATCTGGAACAGTCTATATTTATGAGATGATTAAACTTGAGATGGTTAAACTCTAACTTCTGGGTGGTTGGGGGAAGAGAATGTATAACGTGCTGCCACTGGAGGAATCATGGGGCTGAACAGTTGGGAACCAGCTTTCAGCTTGGACTCCAAGTGTAAATAGGGCAGATGGCGGGGGAGGAGTGCAGGGTGCTGGAAATCAGCGGTAGAGGTGATACTGAGGCTCAGAGTGAGTGAGAAGGAGCTTAGAGGATTGGAGAGGTTCTCTTCCAAACAACTTTTCTTTTCTGTTGAGGAATAATATTGCTACAA